TACAAATATCAGTCCAGTAATATATCTCTTCGCAGTAGAGATATGAAAAAGTCAAACCTCCTTTCTTCCTTCAGCAACAGCAGATAACACGCAGTTAACAATCCATCATCGTCAGCAAGCAATTCAGTAAGCCAGCGATCAATCAAGTTCTCTTGTTCCCTCTTATGGCGATTTACAGCCACACCCAAAATTACATGCTTTGCAGTTAAAGTGACACACACTTAAACTCACTATCATAGTTTATATATATTATTTTACCCAAACTATGTTAGGTAATCTAAGTTATTCCTAACAACAACCAGCTAAACAGGAGCCAGCAGTGTGCAGCAACCGCCAAAAAAGCTAATGCAATCCTAAGTTGCATTAACAGAGGAATACAATCGAGATCAAGTTGAGGTACTAATACCACTTTATAAAGCCTTAGTAAGACCATACCTAAGAGTCCTGCATCCGGTTTTGTTCACCACATTATACAAAAGATGTTGAGACTCTATAAAAAGTACGGAGAAGAGCAACCAGGATGATTAGGGGACTGGAGACAAAAACATGAATGGTTACAGGAACTGGGCATGGCTTGTCTTGTAAAGAGAAGGACCAGGGGAGACATGATAGCAGTCTTCCAATATTTGAGGGGCTGCCACAGGGAGGAAGGGGTCAAGCTATTTTCTAAAGCTCCTGTAGGCCAGACAAGGAATAATGGATGGAAACTGAACAAGGAGAGATTTAACCTGGAAACAAGGAGAAACTTTCTGACAGCGAGAACAATCCACCAATGGAACAGCTTGCTCTTGGAAGTTGTGGGAGTGCCATCACTTGAGACTTTCAAGAAGACTGCCATTTGTCAGAAATGGTGTAGTGTCTTCCGCTTGGGCGGGGGGTTGGACTAGATGACCTACAAGGTCCCTTCCAACTCTGTTTATCTGTTATCTGTTTAAACAGCTTGATTCATTTGAATTATATAACAGCCTGTTTAGGTTTCTTTTTCGTGGAATGTGATGCTATAGATCTCTTTATTTGACCTTATTAGTCTTAATTTGGTTTCCCCAATAGTTTCTGTTCATGACTAGCTGTAGGCTATTAACTGCTACTGCCAGTCTTTTAATCTTATGTGGAAACTATTATTTGCAAGTTTTGCCCACTAGTTTCAAAAGCTATTTTCTAAGAAGTCCACATTCTTGTTTATAGATAGTTAATATTCAAAGATAGAAAGTACTGTTTCTGTAGTCAATCAGCATTGCCTGGCAACAAGGTCTGTTGTAAATTCCTTTCAGAGTTGTTTGACTTGCTCAGCCTTCACTGACAATATATTTTTCTGGAGAAAGAATTGCTGCTCAGGGTGGGAAGCTAAGGGAGCATTCTGATCACCTGATTCCTTGTTTATGAGAGGTAGATAGTTCTATAAATGGTTGCTTTTCAAGTTTTGTTTCCAAATCCCAATTCAAATGGTCATATGTATTTTAGGTGTGGATAAAGTAAGTAGGATTTGTCTTGTTAGTTTTATTTACAGTTTTCTTCCCCAGGTGTAATTGTATCTGTCTGCTTTGTGATTTAGGTAGAATCTGGACTCCTTTCTGTTGCATGGGGGAGGGAGATTTTGACTTATTTTGAGAGGTTACATTAGATTGAATTTTAGGATTTTCAGGATGTTATAGCTGTCTAATCTTCAAGGGAAAAATAGGGATAGTTAACATTGAGCAGCAGATTGAAATAAAATAAGAATAATATATAGATAAAATGAGAAAAAAATACCAAACAGATTGTCCTGTCAACTCATAGGGCCATTTTCCTACTTCCAATACTAGCTAGCAGTTCTGTTTTTTAATAAGTTTAGATCCTTTTTGATGGATTTCAGTTACAGAGAATACTTGTGGGCTTTCAGGTACTTCATTGTAGCAGCCTAAATTTCTGCTTCTATGTTGGGATTATTTTGTCTTGATATTGTTTTTTTAAAACTTAATATGAATGCTTCTGTGATTTAACAACTGCTTGAGTTAAGTGACGGTAGAAGAATTAAAGCAGTCTTAGTATTTTCATCAAGTATCCTTCCTGAATTACATTCTGTCCAACTAAAGCACTTTTCTCACATGTGAACATCACAAGCATTACTTGTATCTAATGATTCAGAAGAATATGAATGTTGGCTCTACTCTGTTTTACAGACAGAAGCACTGAAGTGTGTAGCTCAAGCCAGTAAGAATCGATCATTGGATGATTTCAAAGAGGTAAACAAACATAATAAGAAAAATAGCAATAGCACTTAGACTTATATACTACTTTACAGCCCTCTCTAAGTGGTTTACAGAGTCAGCATATTGCCCCCAACAATCTGGGTCCTCATTTTATCCACCTCAGAAGGATGAAAGGCTGAGTCAACCTTGAGCCTGGTGAGATTTGAACTGTCAAATTGCAGGCAGCCGGCAGGTAGCAGAAGTAGCCTGCAGTACTGTACTCTAACCACTGTGCCACCGTGGGTTGAATATCTTGGGGTTGAATATCTTGGGGTTAGATTAATCCTTAGTCTTAGAAAAGGAACTTCTACACTGAGAAGCAGTAAAGAAAAAAGGGAGAGATGTCTTCACTATACCCAGCCTTTAAGTCTTCAAGATACGCTTGCTGAACCCATTTGGGACTGGGTGGACTGGGCTGTGATTATTAAGCCCACAGTTTTCAATCATAATAACTGAAGAGTCTGATTTCTTCAGAAGGTGCACTTTGGAGTGCAGACTTTTCTTCACTGAAAGTCAGAAGAATCAATCACTTGGATCCTGCTATTGTTTGATAGGTCAAAGCATGTGGCAATAAAAATATTCTGAAGATAACCTGTTTTACAGATGTTGCAGGCTCACTATGTACAAATCAAAACCAAACTAGAAAAACAATTAGAACAGAAAGAAAACTTAATAAATTCTGGTGCTGGGAAGTAAAGTACAATGTTCAATTGTTCCGTTCTCCAACTTGGAAAAATGTTTCTATCTGTATACAGATATATCTGTGGGAAAGCTTTGAATATCTTGATTTGCACAACTGATTAACGGACCTACACAATTATCTACACAATTAAAGTTCAGTTTGGCTATGGCTACCTCAGTATAAGAAGCTATTTGGCTCCAAAGTGGAAATGGTGGTTTTAAGAAGGTGTGGACAGGCTTGCTGCCCCTCTTGGCATCTCTTCAAAGGACACAACAAGTTCAGTGAATATGCCCACACCCCCTCTGAAGCACTATTTTTGCTTTAGATCTAAACAAATACACAGGTGAAACTCAAAAAATTAGAATATCGTGCAAAAGTTCATTTCAGTAATGCAACTTAAAAGGTGAAACTAATATATGAGATAGACTTATTACATGCAAAGCAAGATAGTTCAAGCCGTGATTTGTCATAATTGTGATGATTATGGCTTACAGCTCATGAAAACCCCAAATCCACAATCTCAGAAAATTAGAATATTACATGCAATCAATAAAACAAGGATTGTACATAGAACAATATCGGACCTCTGAAAAGTATAAGCATGAAGTGCTCCAAAATCTCCTGGTAGACGGCTGTGTTGACCCTGGACTTAATGAACCACCTAGAACCTTTTCACAATATTCTAATTTTCTGTGATTGTGGATTTGGGTTTTTCATGAGCTGTAAGCCATAATCATCTCAATTATGACAAATCACTGCTTGAACTATCTTGCTTTGCATGTAATGAGTCTATCTCATATATTAGTTTCACCTTTTAAGGTGTGTTACTGAAATAAATGAACTTTTGCATGATATTCTAATTTTTCGAGTTTCACCTGTACATCACTAGGACATATAATTGTTGCAAAAGTTCAAATAGTGACTTGAAAGTGCCTGTTGGACGCTCATAGGTCTGTGTGTCTTGAGTGTGATTTTCATTAGTCAGAAATAACCATTTTAGTCCCATATGTAATTCATTTTTAATGAAGTTTTTAATCATATTAAAGATGATTCTCAAAATAGACATGAATGGGATGAACCTGTTCAGGATGGTTGTGAGGTTGCCTTCTGCATTCAGTAATGATTGAATTTGCTCTGCCATAGGCTCTGAAAGATTATAAAGTGGAACTCAGGGATGACCCCATCATCAGTACACATTTGGGAAAACTGTACGATAACTTATTGGAACAAAACCTCATCCGTGTTATTGAGCCTTTCTCCAGAGTGCAGGTAAAAAGCTGCAGAGCTTCCCATATGCATCCCTTTCTGCTTTTATTAAATGGTTGTTCTCTTTTCCCTTCAAATAGGGCATGGAGAGTTTATGCTAAAACCTTGGCACTTTCATATACACTAAACTAAGATTTGTTTCAAATCTTTTAAACCCTTTTATATCTCTGTCTTGTTGAACAAGTCCGTATGACATATAATTATGTCTTATTTGGAGAATTTTGATGTTCCTTCTGTTTCTTTTGGATAGAGTACAAAACCAAACTGCGTCTAAACTATTATTCTAGCATCAAACTTAATCACAAGAAGGAAGAATTTGTAAACTAATTGCAACTTGTGGTTGGTTGTATTAAAAAAATCAGCCATTGTTTCTTTTCTCACACTGCATGTTTATTTAATTGATTTATTTGGCCACCATTTATGCATTAACTAAACCAGAAAGGAACATACCATACTATGGTATGACATAGAATTTTAGTGGAAAAGCTGTATAGACATAAGTAAAATAAATAATAAAATAATTTTGTCTAAACCAGGCTACTCTGAATTGTTCAGTTACATGGGTTTTAGGACTGGGATAGGAATTTCAGGGCAAAATGAATTGGGTGAAACTGTTCCAAATCTAGAATAGTAGTTTTCAATATTGGGTCAACAAATGGATTTAGTTATCAGATTCTTATGCTGTGTTCCGATTCTGTAGGAATTGTTTGATCAGAAATACTAAGAGAATCCTTAGTTACTAAATTGTTTGCCATGCATATGTAGTTGAATTATAGATTCTAAATAATTGATTATAAAGCTAATAAAATTATTTCAAGACAGGAAGATTTTTTTAAAAAGAACTGTAGTATGGGTGGAGAGTCTCAATATTTTTCTTCATCAAATTAATAAAAATGTAATTGCCAAAATTGACCTTGTGTTTCATTATGAAGAAAAAACTGTCAAGTGTGAATCAAATAACCAGAAGCACTAACACCAAAGTTAAAATTATGTAGAGAATAAAGAAGGCAACCCTGACAGATTACCAAAGTGATAAGCGGAAAAGCATATCTTAAGTCCACAACAAGCAGAAAATATGTGGAAGAGGCTCAGGATAGCTCCCTAATTCACATGAATATAAAAAGGCAAGGAAGTACAGCACAATCAGACTTGTAAGATTCTGTTATCATAGCCACTCTTAATAAAAGTTGTTTTAGCCTTCCTGTGGAGTGGATTCCTGCCCTGATCTATGTGGTAAGGCTAACAAATTAGCACCATCTGTTGTGAATACAGGGGTAAAGCCAAATTGTACAAAGATTAATAGATAATTATTCCATATTAACTGTTTCAGAACAATAGCAGTTCCGCTCACTGTGGCCCCATCTCAATTTCTTTTGCAGATTGACCACATATCTAGCCTTATCAAGTTATCAAAGGTAAGAGTTCAAATGTAGTATCCTATATGATGATGCTTTCAGTATTTTTTGTTAATAGTTGTGAAAAAGCCACATTAATTTTCTTCAGCAACAGAAGTGATTTAGGAAGAAATTTCAAATTCAGTTTCAACTCTTTTAAAAAGACATACGGGTAAGTAATTCTGTTTTTGGACAATTTAAATAAAACAAAAAACTTACTAATCCTGAAATACTAGAACTGCACATGGAAATAAGCTGTGTGGAACACATTAAGCAGATATACATACATTGAACTGTAAAGGTTATCGAACTTTGGCAACTGTTTCTTTGAAATAAATAATGGAAAATACTTCTTCAAGGAAAAAAAAAAGGGGGGGGGTATTATTCTAAGCAGTCTCTCACTTGAGCATTTCCTGGTTCAATTTCAGGCAGATGTGGAAAGAAAGCTCTCTCAAATGATCCTGGACAAAAAATTCCATGGTGAGTCTTCCGCAATTCTCAAGAATGAAGGAGTTTGTTTCTGTCCATTGCAATGTTTGTGTTTCTTAGGTTTCCTGAATAAATATGAAGTACCTCAACAAGCATCAACAATAAGTTGTATTATATTGAGGAATTCCCACAAGCTTTAGGGTTCTTTATCCTCATCTTTAAAAGTTCTGTACTTGGAAACTATACAGACGGAGTCTAATATTTATTTTTTAAATGCATAATTCAAGCTAGTCTACTTGCTTTGCTCCTTTGAAGTCTGTCAAAATTAAAGAGGAACACTTCATGTTAGAGATGTAAGTTATCCAAAAATTTTAATTGAAACTTTTCTCTCATTAGGGATTCTTGACCAAGGTGAAGGTGTCTTGATTATTTTTGATGAACCACCTGTAGACAAAACATACGAAGCTGCTCTGGAGACCATTCAGAATATGAGTAAAGTAGTGGATTCATTATACAACAAAGCTAAGAAGCTCACATAGGTGAGGGGCTCTTTCAGCCCACAGTTAAGGCTCTAACAGATTTTTGCACCCCCTCCAGAAGAATTGTTCTGTTGAATGATATGGCTCCGTCTTTTATTTTCCTTGCAGAGTTGAAAACTGTTGGCTGTTTGGAGCATTGGTGTGTGAAATGGGGGAGGGGGGAACAAAAGGTTTAGAAGACTGGTAGAGGGGGTTGTTCCCCACCCTCCTTTTACTCCTCACTCAAAAAGTTTAAGACAGCCTTCCCCAACCTGGTGGTCTCCAGATGTGTTGGAACTACAGGTCTTTGAATTCCAATCAACATGGCTAGGAATTCTAAGACTTGTAGTCCCAATATATCTGGAGGCCACCAGGACGCGGAAGGCTGTTTTAAGACTTTCTCATCTGATCCATCTTGTCTATACAATTGTGTGTTCCAGTTTCCATGTAACCTTTTACCTGTTGAATTTTGTACTGGGATGAGGAAATGTTTAAAAAAGGGGGGGAAATTGCGGGGGGGGGGGGGGGAGAGCAGTGGCAGCATCCTAAAAAAAAGGACTGAGATTATGCTACCTTTAAAAATGAACAACAAAATTGCATTTCATTTTCTTGAAGGTAGCAAAGGGGTGGGCCAAGATGTCTTTGTAAGTCACAAGAACCCAGCCACACAAATTTCCTGCATAGAAGGCATTTCTTATGTGCATTGTGTCCAACATGATTGTTCACAGGTGTACATGCATTGGGTAATCAAGATTGATTACTGTTTCTCAGTATATGCCCAGGTAGCAAATATGTCAGGATTCTGGTAGTTACTCCAATTAAATCATGAGCCTCGAGCCACACTCCCAAAACTAAAAAGGATTTATTTGAAGTTAACATTCTATGTCCGGCATTTGCCTGGGTGTAGCCAATTCTGAGATAAGTAATTCACTGTCACCCTTATCCTGCTTTTCCCCCCACCCCCCATGAGTTTATGTTGATTTCTAGAAATTGGGAGCTACAGGTGAAACTCAAACAATTAGAATATCGTGCAAAAGTTCATTTATTTCAGTAATGCAACTTAAAAGGTGAAACTAATATATGAGATAGACTCATTGCATGCAAAGCAAGATAGTTCAAGCAGTGATTTGTCATAATTGAGATGATTATGGTTTACAGCTCATGAAAAACCCAAATCCACAATCTCAGAAAATTAGAATATTACATGCAATCAATAAAACAAGGATTGTACATAGAACAATATCGGACCTCTGAAAAGTATAAGCATGCATATGTACTCAGTACTTGGTTTGGGCCCCTTTTGCAGCAATTACTGCCTCAATGTGGCGTGGCATGGAAGCTATCAGCCTGTGGCACTGCTGAGGTGTTATGGAAGACCAGGATGCTTCAATAGCAGCCTGCAGCTCTTTTGCATTGTTCGGTCTCATGTCTCTCATCTTTCTCTTGGCAATGCCCCATAGATTCTCTATGGGGTTCAGGTCAAGTGAGTTTGCTGGCCAATCAAGCACAGTAATCCCACTGTCATTGAACCAGGTTTTGGTGCTTTTGGCAGTGTGGGCAGGTGCCAAGTCCTGCTGGAAAATGAAGTCAGCATCCCTTAAAGCTCGTCTGCGGAAGGAAGCATGAAGTGCTCCAAAATCTCCTGGTAGACGGCTGTGTTGATCCTGGACTTAATGAAGCACAGTGGACCAACACCAGCAGATGACATGGCTCCCCAAATCAACACAGACTGTGGAAATGTCACACTGGACTTCAAGCATCTTGCAGTGTGTGACTCTCCATTCTTCCTCCAGACTCTGGGTCCTTGGTTTCCAAATGAGATGCAAAAGTTGCTCTCATCAGAAAAGAGTACTTTGGACCACTGAGCAACAGACCAGTTCTGTGTTTCTTTAGCCCAGGTAAGATACTTCTGATGTTTGTTGTTCAGGAGCGGCTTGACAAGAGGAATACGACATTGGAAGCCCATGTCCAGAATCCGTCTGTGTGTGGTGGCTCTTGATGCACTGACTCCAGCCTCAGTCCACTCCTTGTGAAAGTCCTCAACACTTTTGAATGGCCTTTTCCTGACAATCCTCTCCAGGCTGCAGTCATCCCTGCTGCTTGTGCACTTTTTTCTTCCACACTTTTCCCTTCCACATAACTTTCTATTAATGTGCTTTGTTACAGCACTTTGGGAACATCCAACTTCTTTTGCAATTACCTTTTGAGGCTTTCCCTCCTTATGGAGCAGGGGTGGGCAATTAATTTCTGTCGGGGGCCACATGGAAAATCAGATCTGCGTTCGAGGGCCGAACCAATTTTATAAAAGGCCATTATAAAGAGCCCATTATAAAATGCAGCAAATTATATATAAGAATCATTTACCTGTTCAGTGGGAGAAATCCAGTCTGTCTTGGGCTTGAACAAGTGCACTGAAATCTGGCGGAATATCTGAGGTGGCTATGCGAAGGACAGCTGAGAGGTGGTCATCAGTGATAGAGGATCTGTGTCTGGATTTGTTGAACTTCATCACTGAGAATGTCTGTTCACATATGTAGGTAGATCCAAAGAGGACTAGAATTTTCAGAGCATGTCTCCTCATGTGTGGAAAGTTCTCCTCTTTGAGTGATGAGTAAAACTCAAGCAGTGGGACAGACCTAAAGTGCGCTGCCAGAAGTGTGTCAGACTGCAAGTCAGTGAGTTCCATCTGAACATCACTGGGTGCATTATCCACATTGCAACTGAAGGGAGAAGAAACCATGTCCATTTTACTCTCAAGTGTTTTGAAGTCTTGAAATCGCCTTGAAAACTCAGCATGCAGTGCTTCTAACATGGATGAGTACCTGTGGAGGTGATCAGCTGATGGTTTGGCTTCCTTCAGTGTTGGCATGTGAGTAAGAATATTGTTCCCCATTTGGCTTGAGAGAAGCTGCAACTTTCTCATGAAAGCCTTCACTGCGCTGTACATTTCATGCACAAAAAGGCCCTTGAATTGCAGTTTGACATTCAGGTCATTCATCCGAGAAGTCACGTCTACAGCAAAACTAAGGTCTGCCAGCCAGTCTGCACCTGAAAGCTGAGGGATGTCATTTCCCTTGTTCTCACAGAACTGCCAGATCTCCTCTCTCAGGTCCCAGAAAACTTTCAGGACTTTTCCCAGGCTCAGCCACCTGACATTTGTGTGGTAGCTGATGTCACGATGTTCAGACTCTCTTTCCTCCAATAGTGCAACAAACTGTCTGTGATTCAGTGCTCTTGCTCTGATGAAGTTAACGGTTTTAGTTACAACATCAACAACATGGTTCATTTTTAATACTGACCTACACAACACTTCCTGATGTATAATACAATGCAAAAATGTCAATTTCTGCTCAGGGTTAATTTCGGTAACTTTATCCTGCATTCTCTTCAAAAGTCCAACATTTCTCCCCGTCAGATTTGGACAACCATCTGTTGTCACACCTACAAGTTTGTCCCATTTCAGTCCCAACTTGTCTAAACAGGCATTTACTTCCGTTAGGAAATCACTCCCTGTTGTTGTCCCTTTCATTGACTGCATGGCTGCCAGTTCCGCCGTTATTTTGAAGTCTGCAGTGATCCCACGTAAGAAGATGAGTAGCTGGGCAGTGTCTCGTACATCGCAGCTCTCATCCAGAGCCAGGGTAAAAAAGGAAAATGTAACCGCTCTGTTCTTTAGCTGAAACTCCAAATTTCCTGCAATGTCCTCAACCCTTCTCGTCACAGTACGCCGGGACAGAGGGATGTTCTCAAATGCACCCTTTTTCTCTGGACATATTAGCTCAGCAGAGTCCACCAAACACTCTTTAATAAACTCTCCGTCAGAAAACGGTTTACTTCGTTTAGCTATTTTATGAGATATGACATAACTTGCTTTGGTAGCTGTATCTCTGGATGTGCTAAGTTTTGTAAAAAGTGTTCGTTGAGTTTGCAGCTTGGATAGCAAAATCTCCGACTCCTTTGCTCGCTCTTGGTCAGACAAGTTCCTATATTTATCCTCATGTTTGGTCACATAGTGGCGATTCAGATTATAATCTTTCAACACAGCGACAACTGTACCACAAACTAAGCAAACGGCTTTGCCTTTGACTTCCGTAAATAAATATTTAGCAGTCCATGTCTTGTTGAAAACACGGCATTCAGAATCAACTTTCCTTTTTTTAATGTGAGTCGACATTTTTGGGGGAGCTTAGTGGGTGAAACCCCTCCTAAAGAATATTAACCCCCACTATACTACAGATCCAATCCCAGGTATTTATTCTAGCAGTGATCAGTCATTTTATTCATTGGAATTACCATTTATTTGTTTATGACAGGCTTGCGTCCGCGCGGGAGCGTAGCAGCGGCGGGAGAGGTGTAAGGACAATTTTGTCGTATGGAGATCTGAGGGTGTTGAGTTCCTTGACTGCAAATTGCAGCGGTTTGCCAAACTGTCTAAAAATAAAGAGGGTAGTGAGTGACTTCAATATTTTTCCTTTTGAAATATTGCTACTTTACACCATGCAGCCTATAATAATCCTATTCCTGCATTGGAACAACCTCTCCCGGTTGTTTCGGGCGGCGACTGCCTTCGCCTCCGCCCGGCGCCTTTTGTCGCGCACCCTCGTCCTCCCCCGGCTGACAGCTCCGCTGCCGAGCCTTGGCTCCGGCGCCCCTCCAGCACCCCAGACAAGCGCAGGGCTGCTTTCGGGGGCTCCCGCAAGGGGTCTGGATCAGGATCTGAGCCCCTTCATTCCACCCCCCTCCAGCTTTCGGCTCACACGCCTCGCTCTCGCTCTCGCTCCCTTTCCCCTCTGCCCAGAGCTGCGCCTCGGACACGCCCCACGAGAACCCCCACCCCCCACCCCAACCTTCGTGCAAGGGGCGCCGCTTGGGGAACGAGAGAGAACAAGCCAGCGAGGAGAAGGAGGAGAGGCAGGCACGAAGCGAGGCGAGGCGCACCGGAAAGAGGCGCTTCGTGGCGGAGCCGCTGAGGCGAGCTTTCTCCCCACCCCGCGTTCCTTTCTCCCTCAGGCCGACTGGCGCTGCTGAGGGCAGACTTCCCTCGCCCGTAGGCTGCTGCGAGATTCCCAGGGTTGCCCCAACCAGCCGGCTGGTCTCCTCCTCCTCG